AAAGGCTTGGTTTTAAACAAGAAAAGGTGGCTCCAAACCTTTGGCAAATCTGAGGGAGGAAAATCACATATAACACATGCACAACATTAGGAATAAGGAAAAAAAAATCTTTACTACAAACTATGAGGAGATGACAACATTTTGAGAGGACTTTTATATGACAAAATATAGCATAAACACAGTTGGGAGACAAGAAACAGATTGGAAGATTTTTGTAACACACATAATAAAAAAAGATAAATATCCAGAAAATGCTACAACTCCTATAAATCAGTAAAGAAAAAAAAAAACTCAATAAAAAATGGGCAAAAGAAAAGAACAAGCAATCACAGAAAAAGAAACAAAGTGGCCAGTAAACATAAACTGTTCAACCTCAGCAAAATTAGAGGAATGCAAACTAAAGGTACTATTTCTCGCCAATCAATTTAGCAAAAAGCAATAAATTAAATTATTAATCCGTGAGTATTAGCAAGGATATGGAGGAATAAGAAACCCCCATACATCTGCTGATGAGAATGTAAATTGTTATACGCACTGCGGAGAGTTGAAAATGCAAACACCTTCCTCTTACAGTTAAACAAAGAAATCTGAATAAACACCCTTCTTTGCTCCCCACCAAAACCCACTGAAACAAGAATTCAAAAATGTAAAAGATGTACATGAACATGGACAAAAAGAATGAGAAGGGCACAGAGCATATAAGAGGTTTTAACAGAATTTACTAAAAGGTAAAGTGACTGAATGAATGAATGAATGAATGGAAAAGAGATATCTAAAATCTAACTGGCTAAGAGGGAAGGGAGCCAAAGTAGAAGCCAAATCATGCTAGAGAAGCCAGAAAAGGATCTGAATTAAGAAACATGAGATTCCTCTCAAGGTAGTTCAATGTAAGCACGAGGTGTGGTTGAAAATCCTTCAAAAAAACCTTCAAGCTCCCAGATCCTCTACTATGAGGGTAGGTTCACTCTCAGAAAAAGGTCAGAGATAGCAAATACAACTAAGGTGGAGATCAAGCACTGCTAAGTGGGGTAGGGTATGCTAATTGACTACATCATTATCGGTTCTATCCTCTTCCTTATTAACAAAACCCTGTATCTTTAGCTGAATATATAGCTGCTCATAATGGAAATTCCTTTTCCTAGCATCCTATGAGAAGTGGACATACATAATGGCCAGTAACATATAGGCAAGGGGTTGTGGAATAGTTGCCAGGAAACACCCTAAAGGTCGAGCCCTGTGCCTTTCTCCCTTTCTCCATCCTACCACCTGGAACTTGAATATGATTACAACCTGGACCTGAGAACAATATTCTAGGTTTTACACAGCACAAAGCTGAAAGGAATCTGAACCTCAATGAACTTCACAGAACCACTATATAAGACCTGGGCTACCAGAACTACCTGCCAGCCAACTTTTTACAAAAGAATAAAACCTTGGCTGGGCGCCACGGCTGATGCCTATAATCCCAGCACTTTGGGAGGCTGAGGTGGGTGGATAACCTGAGGTCAAGAGTTTGAGACCAGCCTGACTAACATGCAGAAACCCCTTCTCTACAAAAAATACAAAATTAGCTGGGTATGGTGCATGCCTGTAATCCCAGCTACTCAGGAGGCTGAAGCAAGAGAATCGCTTGAACCCAGGAGGCGGAGGTTGTGATGAGCCAAGATCACAGCACTGCACCCGGCCTGGGCAACAAGAGCAAAACTCCATCACAAGGAAAAAAAAGAAAGAAAGAAAGAAAACCTTAACTCAGATAATTTGGAAAATACCACACAGAAATGAACCTAATCCTAATGGAGGTGTCACTAAAAACAGATGTACCTGATAGAAAGACTGCATACATGATTGTTAAGATTCCCAACCTCCATTCCCCAGGATAAAATTTAGAAAGCTGATAAGCAGACTTTTTCATGGAAGGACACTAGAAGCTTTCTCTCTAAAGAAATCGATCACCATAAAAGAAATGACACAATGCTGGTAGCTAGTATATCTGAAGTTTCAAAAAAAATAAAAAACTAGCAGGGTTCCCATTTGATCACCCTAGTTCACCATTTACGAAGGTCTAATCAATTTTTAGTAAAAGCCACTTTATGAAGGAAGAAGTATCATACAAAAAGGTTTTTTTGTTGTTGTTTTCTGTTTTGATTTTGAGACAGGGTCTCAGTATGTTGTTCAGGCTGGTCTCTAACTCCTGGGCTCTAGTGATCCCTCCGCCTCAGCTGGAATTATGAGTGCATGCTACCACACCCAGAACAAATGAGTTTTTAAGTAATCATTCTCATTATTATAATATGCATAAATATATACTTTAGAAATTTTAACAGAACACCTACAAGTTAGCAGTAAGAAGCCAAGTCTATCACTAGAGCTATATATGGAGCTGCACATCAGGACTTACTAAGATAGCTTCAGTTCTTTAGGAATTAGTTTAAACCCTCTTTTTCAAAGTTCATTAGTTTAAAAATTCATTAAATTAAAAAATTAATGTTAAGTTTACACAATCATCCAAACATAATCATTAAAAATAAGATATTCTGCCAGACTTGAATGAACATCACACAACTGACTCACATCTAATTTTATGGCATATATACCTAAGGAACTTTTGTACCTACGTTCATTATAAAATTTAGTAGTATCTCCAAGCTTAACCTAACCCCTCTAGAAGACCGAAAAGTAAAAATACTTAGTATTTGTTGAATGAATGTGGCAGAAGGAGAATATACAGAGATGACTAAAAAAACATGGTTAGTTTCAAAGAGACTATATCTACAACAGGTCCACTATCTATTAGGAACAGCTGACACATTTAAGTCTGGTAAAAATAAAGGTATGAACAAATGAATGAAGTTTTAAAGTTCATAGGAGAGCCTTATCCAAACCATCATCCACCATCCTTCCATGTCTGTTAGTTTTTAAACCCATGCACCAAATGCCTCTGAAGATCCCAAATTTGAGGACTGGAATCAAATTTGATCTATTCAACAAGATTTTTATCATAGAGTTCATTATACAACTATGTTTTCTTAATATTACTAATGGAAAATCCTCACTGAATGCTATTCATGCCTACATAAAAATCACTTTGAAACTTTATGTTAATTCTAAAGAATGGCTAAGTGTTCCCAGGTTAACTTAAAAAAAAAAAAATGCTTACACTATCAGACTAATGATCCTTGCGGCCCAACAGTCCTACCTCTAAAATTTGACACCAAGGGGTCATTATTTCTCTGGGTCATCTATTCAATATCCCTTCCTTTGGAGAACCAACCCTTCCCCAGTCTGGACTTATCTTGTTTTAATCCATAGGGTAAGGAGAAATTAAACCAGCTGGATGACTCAGACAGGGGCAATTAAATTAGTCCATTTCCCACCATCATATACTGGTGCAAACAAATATGATGGCTCAAAGGCCCAGAGGCCTCCCATGGACTTCCACCAGAATTAAGGAGAAAAGTACTCTCTTCTCTAAGATACTGAGTATTGCGGACTTTCGTAAGCACACTAAACCCATCCCTGTCAATACATGATGCTTTCAAGGGAAGCATCATGTAGGCAAGACGATCTCCAGTGATACCTAAAGCTAGGGAAGGAATATCCCTAGACTTGTCAGTTAGCAGAATAAGTCCTTTCTTAGCTCAAGCTAGGTTTAGCCTGGGTTTCTGCTCCTTGGGTCGGAATACAATTGTGTTTCTCCTGTGAACCAAGTAGAGTACATTATACAAAGAAAACGAGATCATTAACAAGGTAGGCAAAAGAAATTAACTCTAAAGTCCTATAATAATGTTCTTATCATAACTATTAAGTATCATGAAAGGAGCCCTCATTAAATACAGCATGAGCTAAATAAGCATTTGCTAAAATAACACATTTACTCCACTATGTATATACCTGTTGGTGAACAAACTGCTTTTAAACAACCTACCTTGAACGGTTCTATTATGTAACTACAGTTTTATTTCAAATAGTTGTAGCTCCTAACTTTCTGTCATTTGATAATTTTGAACTGAGGAAGATGGTCCATTTCATGTGGACAATGCAATGAGTTGATCAGACATGTGGTCCAGTGTCCCAATTCCCCCACTTCCTTCAAGCAACTACTATTATGAAATCTAAATTTGGTCCAAGAAAGACAGTGACGGAAAAATGAGGGAAAAGGGGGAAGCTTCAGTTAGAGACTCAAAAAAGTAAAAACTAGTTTATAAGTAAATGTGGCGAGAGATCCGTACATGGCAGACTGGTGCACCCAGGCATCTGATCCACCGAGCCCTGGCAGACCCAGGGCTGGGCAGGCTGGCAGGCAGGACGAGCGGGCAGTCACAGCGGGCCTGAAGGGCTGGCCCTGCTCACCAGCAAGGAATGCTGACCACACCTACGCGCCCGGTCAGGCCGGGGCGGGGCGGCTCGGCCCAGGTTACAGGACTGAGGGAAGAGGGGAGACAGGAAGAGGGGCTGCGAGGGACGGCTGGCAGGTCTACCCACCCCCGGCCCCGCGCCCACCTCAGGAGCGTCTCAAGCGAGCCTTCGTGCTTGTCCAGCGGGCGACCGACTGCGGCGCGGCGCAGCTTGCTGAGCTCCTCCGCCGCGCGGCAGTACTGGGCCTGCTCTTCCCCGCCGCTCGGGTAAGTCTGCTGGATGAACTTCACCAGCGGCTTGGCCAGGTCCACCTCTGAGGTCTTTTTCAGCTGCACCGAGATGAATGTCGCCATGATCAGCGCCTCTGCCGCCGTTCGGGCCAAACCGACCTCTGACAGCTACGAAGGCCGAGGAGAGAGAGGTACCGGGTTGGCGGACTGGCGGACTGACTGGCTGACGGACGTGAGCTCCGCTTGCGTTCCTGGTCCGGCCACTTCCGGGAGCGCCAGCGCAGGCGCACTGGGCGCGGGGGGGGGGCCTTCGGCCGCCCGCGGTCACGTGAAGGTGTCGCAGCGGCGACGCCTTCCAGGATCGAGTTTAACCTGTACTGTGCTGTAAAATACTGACTTTCCCCGCATCTAGAATTCTTCCCTTCCTCCTTCCTGCCGCTGTAGTGTACTGAGCACTTTGACGTAAGAGTATTCCTCCACTCGAACAACTTCCTGGAGAGGTACTTCTGTCGCTGCCACCTGCGAGAGTTTGAGGCTGCCTCCCAGAGACGCGGCCCCAGGGTTATTGTGACCAACGAATTTTCTTCAACTTCTGTTGATGGGCTGCTGTGCACAGGTACGGAGTGCACAGGGAACCTAGTAGGCAAGATCCCTGCCATCGTGCATCTTACTGTCAGGTTGGCACAGACCTTAAGGTAAACTGAAAAAGTATCAGGAAAAAAACAGGGTGCTTGGGATTTAGGACGTTAAGATCGCTTGAAGGACCGTAATTTAAGATAAAGTAGGCTTTCTTCGACTAGGTGAACTGAAAACGAACCTGTATCTGTTGTTGCTGTTTTGTAGAAAGAACAAAATTTTAAATACATTTAAAACAACATCTGTAATTTCAGAAGATGCTTGATACCAGAAGAGGAGAAGAATGGAGAGGGGTGGAGTGGCAAAGGAGAGCCTCCAAACCAAAAGCCTGCAGAGGCCCTGGGAGGCAAGCACTTACCATGTTCCGGGACTGGAAACGAAACATGTGACCAGACCTTTAAAAACAGAATGGGAGGCCGGGCGCGGTGGCTCAAGCCTGTAATCCCAGCACTTTGGGAGGCCGAGGCGGGTGGATCACGAGGTCAAGAGATCAAGACCATCCTGGTCAACACGGTGAAACCCCGTCTCTACTAAAAATACAAAAAATTAGCTGGGCATGGTGGCGCGTGCCTGTAATCCCAGCTACTCAGGAGGCTGAGGCAGGAGAATTGCCTGAACCCAGGAGGCGGAGGTTGCGGTGAGCCGAGATCGTGCCATTGCACTCCAGCCTGGGTAACAAGAGCGAAACTCCGTCCCAAAGAAAAAAAAAAAAAAAAAAAAGAATGGGATGAAATAAAGTTGGAGGAGTAAGCAGGCATCAAATCGTTCAGAACCTTGTAGTCCAAATTGAAGAATTTGTTTAGTATTGTATAATAAATGCAGAGGAAGTATGAGACTTAAGCAATATATATTTAAAATTTACATTTTTTAAAGGCCACTTTTTAGTTCAGTTGGATAGTTTGTCTTTTGATGGGATGTGGTATGTCGTGGTATACAGTATCATCATGGTATATTCAGGCAAAAATATTTAACTTGAATCTATCAAGCTTTTGTATATAACACAGCTTATGAAAACAACTGATAGGCCGGGCACGGTGGCTCACTCCTATAATCCCAGCACTGTGGGAGTCCTAGGCCAGTGGATCACGAGGTCAGGAGTTCAAGACCAGCCTGGCCAATATGGTGAAACCCCGTCTCTACTAAAAATACAAAACAGCCTGGCGTGGTGGTGCACGCCTGTAATTCCAGCTACTTGGGAGGCTGAGGCAGAAGAATCCCTTGAACCTGGGAGGCGGAGGTTGCAGTGAGCCGAGATTGCCCCACTGCACTCCAGCCTGGGCAAAAGAGCACGACTCCGACTGATAGGTGAACAAATTTAGTGATGCCAGAGGAAGTAACTAGACAGATCCAGAAGGTGAAACTTTCTGCAGGATAAGTGGCCCACCTCTTCAACAATTTGTCATGAAAAAGCAACTGCTTTGTGAAAAGAAATTTAAGGGACATAACAGTTTGAATTGGATCCCGGTTTGAACAGACTATAAAATGCATTTTCAGGACCATTAAGGAAATATGAATGTAGATGGACTGAGTATTGGATAAAATAGGACTGTATTACCGTGGAAAAAATCATTAACTGAAAAGAGCAAGTCACGAAATGGTATGTATGTTACATCATCTCATTTTGGTTTAAAAATGCACATATATATAATTACATACAACGAAAAAAGATTTAGTGGGCTTATACCCTAAGATGTTAGGAGTGGTAAACTTTGGAAGTGGAAATGTGTATTTTTTCTTTAGGTTTGCCTATATTTTTTTATTGTAACTTTTGCAGTACATAGACTACTTTCATTTTAGTAAAAGCTTATTTTACCACAATTTTTTCTTGAGACAGAGTCTCACTCTGTCACTTAAGCTGGAGTGCAGTGGCGCAATCTTGGCTCACTGCGACCTCCGCATACCAGGTTCAAGGGATTCTTCTGCCTCAGTCTCCTGAGTAGCTGGGACTACCGGCAAGAGCCACCATGCCTGCCTAATTTTTGTATTTTTAATAGAGACAGGCTTTCGTGTTGTTGGCCAGGCTGGTCTCTAACTCCTGGCCTCAAGTGATCCACCCACTTCGGCCTCCCAAAGTGCTGGGATTACAGGTGTGAGCTACTGCACCAGCCTATTTTACCACAATTTATTTTTTTTTAATTGTTTATTTTAATTAAGCTATTCTGCATTAAAATAAGTAGCCACCCTTGGCTGATGCATAAAGAAAGCATTAGAGAAAGGAACGAATGGAAGCAAGGAGGCAAATCATGAGACCATTTCTGAAATCAAGGCAAAAGATCATGAAAACTAACATTAGCAAGAGTGAACCAAACTGATAATATCTTTGAGTTTAAAATTGAAGAATTTACTAATGAACTGCATAGAAAAGTAAAGGGATGGTCAAGGATAGATGCTGTTTTGGGGACTGAATATCTGAGTCATTGGTAGAATCATTACCAATCGATAACCCATGGAAGATGGTCGGGGGTGGGTGGTGTCTTGCAAGTTGGTTGACAGGAAGATAATGAAGATAATGAAGAAGCAAAATATATGAAAAGAGGAGGAGAAAGGGTAACTAGAGGAAGGAAGTTACAAACAGAGTGATTAATCATCAGAAAGATAAGGGACATGACATTTGTTGAGGCAGATGGCAGGTGGGGAGGGGGAGGAAGTTAACAAAGATGTGGTTAATTTTGTGGCATTGATCAAAGGAAGATTAAGGTGATACTATCTGATGACTTAGAATGAAAACCAATCTCCCTACTGCAATGCGATGATCTTTCTCTGCAACTTCATATTTTGCCTCTTGGTTTCTCATTTGTTACTGCTGAGTCACATTGGCCTTTTTAGTTTCTCAAACTCACTGAGATCTTTCTTGCCTCATTTGATCTAGAATGTTTTCTCCCTTTCTCTATACCTCAGTTGAAAGGTCTCCTCTCCTCATCATCATACTATGTAAAGTAGATTCCCTCCCTTGTTAACCTCTAGCTCAGCCATTATTTCCTTCATAACACTTATCCTAATTCACAAGTATTTTGTTTGTTGATTTAATTGTTATCCGACTTCCTCAGAAGAATGTAAGCTCCATGAAGGCAAAAATTGTGTGTTTTTTATACTAATATGTCTCCAGCACTTGGTAAAGCAGGCACTCAATAAATATTGTTAAATAAGTTTCACCTCTTGTTAAATATATATATGCATATATATATGTATAATATTTATATACTCTACTTTCAAAATAACATACTTTCCCCAACAACAAGCTCCCCAACTAATTAGGCAATAGGCCAGTGACCAAAGAATGATGGTATGTTAGTCAAGATCGGCCAGCTCATGCTCTGACAATAAACAATTTCAGAATCTCAGTGCCTTAATAAACATGTGTTATTTGCTCACATGAAGTCTAATATGTAACAGGCTGAGAGTTGTCCTCCAACCAGTGTCTGAGCAATCCAGACTACTTTGATCTTACAGCTCTGCCACCCCAACATGAGATTCCACTTTCACTATGGAAGAGGGAATCACTACCTCAGCCCTCCCACTTCCACTTGCATTTCACTAGCTAGAACCTTTCACATGGCTCCACCAAACTGCAATGGGACTGAAAAGGAAGAATCAGATATTAGGGAGCATTAATAATGCCTTCCAAGAGTGTGTTTCACTGCTTCTAAACTTGCTTATGATGATGTTAGTTTTTCAACTGTGTAATGAAATGCCATATGTTCTTATTGTGTATTCTCAGCATAACAAGTATATTCTGGGAATATTAAGTCAATGGATTTTCCTTCTTGAAAATTCCTAGTTCTGGGCCCATCATTAAGCCCACTGATTGAACCAACAGAAATAGTTGCCTCTTCGGATAGACAGAATCCTGCTGAAGGCAGCTTTGAGTTTCAAAATAGTGTATTTCAAGTCCACATTGAGAAAATAGCCTGAAAGTATGCACATGGACATACAGTAAAAATAAGAATGTATTTAATAAAGAGTATATAATAATGTGACAAAATTGAAATCAAATAAAGCATCATATAATACACGTATTTGGGTTTAAATCAACCATTGAAAGAAAAAGAGTTTTAAAATGACTCACAAAAGAAAACCCAATGTGATAGATTATAAAATTGGCCATAAATTTTTCCTCTCCCTTTATCATGATTTTGCAATGTGACATTGCAGATCTTCCTATCAGGATGTAGACTCCTTTTCTCCACCTTTAAGTCTGGGTCGTTCATGTGAGCTGCTTTGGCCAATGGAGCATTAGCAGTTGTGATGCAAGCAGACACTTCAGTCATCAGGGTTTGTCCTCTCTTACTGCACTTACAGCCCTGTGACCTCCATGTTTGCCATCTTGCCTGCTGAATTATGAGAGATGTGGTAGAGTCACTCTCCTAGCCCTAGCCAACAGTTGTCAGACATAGGAACAAGTCTATCTTAGATCATCCAACCACCAGGCAACACCCTAGATGACCTCAGACACGTAAGCAGGCACCTCAGAGATCAGCTGAGCCAACCTAGACCAGAAATTTTAAGCCAATTTACAGAATTATGAGCTAAATAAATGGCTGGTTTTTAAGCCACTAATTTTTGGTATGGTTTGTTATGCAACAGAAGTGAGCTATCATTATGGTAGATACAAGCAAAATACCTAAAACTGATTCAGAAAGGCTAAATAGAAAGGAATAGACAGACATACCAAGTGCTGTGGACTGAATGTGTACTCTCAACATTCATTTCTTGAATCTCAGTTCCAAATGTGATGGTATTTGGAGGTGAGACCTTTGGAAGGTAATTAGGTTGTGAGTGCAGAGCCCTCATGAATAGGAATAGTGCCCTTATAAGAAGAGACACAACAGAGCTTACTTCCTGTGTCACTCTGCCACATGAAGATAAAGTAAAAAGGTATCTGTCTGCAAAGCAATTAGAGGGCCCTCACCAAAACCTAGTCATGTTGGCACCCTGCTCTTAGACTTCACATCCTCCATAACTGTAAGAAATAAATGTTGTTGAAGCCAGCCAGTCTCTAACAACCTGGACTCACTAAAACACCAGACAAATGGAAACAGTAAGAATGCAAGCTCGTTCTTTTGATATCAGACAATTTGGACCAAAATGTCTTAAATGTAATTAAGAACATCATGCTAAAGGCTAAAATTATCCAGAAAAAAAAATGTAGCTAAAGGCCCAGTAAAGATGAAAGTTTGAAATTTGAAACTTTTGCGTCAAATAACCCAAAATAATCTGTGTACCAAACAACACAGCAACTGCCATCATAACAAAGAAACTACAGGATTACATTTCCAAGTAATAATTTCTCATCTTTGGCCAACTCTATGAGTAGCTAAGGGAATTTTAAAAAATATTACTCAGGGATGATCCAAAGAAGATACATTTGGAAGCAAGATAGGTGGCTTAAGTCTGCGTTGAACAATAATTTGTCACACCTCATTATAAGAGATGTAGCCACGGCCAGGCACAGTGGCTCACGCCTATAATCCAGCACTTTGGGAGGCCGAGGCAAGCGGATCACTTGAGGTCAGGAGTTTGAAACCAGCCTGGCCAACATGGTGAAACCCCATCTCTACTAAAAATACAAAAAAATTAGCCAAGCGTGGTGGCAAGTGCCTGTAATACCAGCTACTCAGGAGGCTGGGGCGGGAGGATCGCTTGAACCCAGAAGGCGGAGGTTGCAGTGAGCCGAGATCATGCCACTGCACTACTGCCTGGGTGAGACTGGGTCTCAGAAAATACAAAAGAGATATGGTCTTGTAAAATTATAGGACAGATAGGAAAGTATATGTCTTCTACCTTGTGGTTAGGCTATACTCCATAAAAATTAATATTTGTCCTTGGGAGATGGTGATTCAACAGTCCCCTGCAGGACAGTCAGGAGAACAAAGAAGTTCATTGATAACTCACAAGAAGAGCTATCTGTCCTGTACTTTTTGGTGAAACCTGGATAGTCAAAGTTCCCCACGTTCCCCATCCTAACTTGGAATATGAGTGGATTCCTCTGTCTTTACCGAGCACACTCTACCCCAGAGTATTAGTTTAGCTTAGTTGTTATCAAATGGGTAATTCTGCTCTCCAGTGGACATTTTTGATTGTCACAACTTGGCAGGAGAAGATGCTACTAGCCTGTAGTGGATAGAGGCTAGGGATGCTTCTAAACACTCTACAATGTACAGGACAATCTCTCATAACAAAAATATTACCCAGCCCCAAATGTCACTAGTACTAAGGGCAAAATTCACTTGAAAAGCATATTGCTCAGAACAGGCTTCAAATTTTGAGAAATATACTGCTAGGGTATAGTCTGATCTATTTGCAAGGGATGAGTTCTTCCAAAGAATGAACGAAGTCTTGCTTTGAGAGGTGAGAAGAAGGAAGCATTGTTGCAGAGATATTGGTGCCTAAGAATAGAGGAGAAAAATAAGGAAGTGGACTACACCAATGAGGGTTGAACTTCTGGAGGAATTTTCCATTAAACTAAAGAGAAGGTCATTGCCATTTTCTTTGTTGACCCATCCCTCATTAAAGGCAGAATGAAGGAACAAGACAGCAAAGAATGTGACTGGCCCCATGGAAAGGAAGCTGAATCCTATCCTGGGGACTCTGTCTAGATGTTCCAGGTGGTAACCAACAGCAACATGATAAAGCGGTTTATGCAGACTTCACACATGTGAGGAGCAAGCTTGGAAGTTCAAGGAGTTTGATGTAAGCTGCTCTGTCTAGTAGGTGTTGTGGTTCTCCCACCTCCCATATACTTTCATCCATTCACCCCTCTCTGAGTTAGTATCCTGATCTCACCTGGGCGTCCTCACCTCTTTCTCTTTGTTCTTTGTCTTAAGCCTTAAGGGATAAGGATGTGACCTCAGGCTTTAGATCATTACCGTAATCCTGTCCTCAAGCCCCAGTAGTACAGAAAAAAAAAAAAAATGACCCAATTTTGACTATAGAGATATAAAAAGAGGTTTCCCAGAGATAACAGAGAAGGACGCTTCTTTGCTTTTTTGAGAGAATTTCTGAAAGTGACCTCTCCCTAGATGTGGCTGAAAAAAAACGTATATTTGTGTATTAGGGTTCTTGCACGCAATAGGAATGAACTGTAGATAGTTTAAGCAGAATGCAAATTGATTGAAGGATATCAGGGAATTCACAGACTCTATGGAAATGCCAAAGAATCCAGCTTTCCCAGAGAGAGCCACACAACAATATGTACTATTGCGGAACTGCTCCAGAGAAAACACCAGTTGCCCTCACTGAGCACAAATACCCCACTGGCAAAGGGTGCTGGGCCCTAGGGACTTTCACCTGAACCTCTGCAACTGCTGCTTCTGGAGATAATACTGCCACTCTTGCCAGGAGAGTTTCTGCATGGTGCTTATGTCTTCATGTCACCAGATTTCACAGAGCTGCAAGGGAGACTGGGAAACAGAATTTCTGAATTTCACATTGAGGAAATAAGGACTTATAAAATGGAAAACTCTCCATAGGAAAGGTTTTCAAAGGTGCCTTGCGGCCATAAATAAAGCATATGTCCACTATACCTTGGGAGTTGTTGTCAACCATCTTGTAACCTTGATAGGGAATTAGCCTGATGTGCCAGAAGTCAGAAAACAGAGTTAGTAAGAAACTGGGTGGATGATAATATCTCTGGGATGCTGAATCAAACCCCAGGTGAAGTCCAATTTATTTCTGGGATCTCAGTCCATTACCTAATAAATCCCCCCCATTGTTTAAACATGTTTGAATTGAGGGTTTTCTGTTTTGTTCTTTACAAATGACTGCATCCTAATTGATACAGTGTACAAACAAAAAATCATTAGAAAACACTCCTAAATTCTGAATGATGGCATTACTGGATTATAAAGTATGTGCATTTTAAATCTAGATATATATTATACTAGATTACCTTCCAAATTTTTGCACAATTTTTTATTTCTACTAACAATTTTTGATAGTTTTCTCATACCCTCACTAACACTAAATTCTATCCTACTTTTTAATATTTATTAACCTGTTAGATGAAAAGTAGTACATCATTGTACTTTTTGTGTTTAATGAATGGATTATGAGTGAAATCAAAACTCTTTTAAGTGTTATCAGTATTTCTGTTAGCTGCCTATTTGGGACCTTTTTCTATTGGATTACTCATCATTATCTTTATTGACTAATAAATACTCTTTATTTAAGAAAATCATCCTTTTGTCATATATCTTGCATTGCCATTTTGTAATGTGCCTTTTGGGGTGTGTGTGTATGTTTAACATTCAAACTGACTAGATGTACACAGTGCATGATGTTTCTCCTGTGTTTTTGCTCTTCCATGTTAAGTTCAGGAACAGAGTCCAAAGGATCAATCCTGCTTATAACTGACTTTAAGAAAGATTGAAAACTTCTCCAGTCCACACAGACACCAGTCTCTGCTACCTCTGCCCCACAAGGTGTCACTGTTGAGACGCAGAATACCTGCTATATCAAGACCTTTCACAAGATGGAGCTATTAAAATTTAAATGCTCTGACAATTTGTGGTTCCAAAGTTAAAAACCTTTGTGGCTCTTTTTCCTAGGACGCACCTGTGATGCTAGAGTAAAATTTGTAGGAGCTGAGCTAGAAACTTGACGTTGCAGCCAGTAATGTTAAGCCCAGGTAAGCAGTCCAGGTTCCCCTCTCCATGGTAAATTTCTCCTGTCTTTTGCTGCCATGTCAAGTCCAGGCCACTTCAGTCCAGAGATGATATAGTAAATTAACCTTCCTAAAGGAAGTGGTCACAGTCTCAGTAACTGCCTTCCCAGAAGATTAGTCTTTGGGAAAATTTGCTGATTTTCTCCCAGCAGCCTTCAAACTTTTTATACCAAAGGAAATGATGAAAAGAGCTTCATTGTCAATTCTCAAATGTCCAGCTGCAACCTTCCCTGTGTTTCCTTACATCTAGTTAATTAAAATGATCCTTCAGCGTGCCTCCCAGAACAAAGGGCTATTGGGGGATCTCCAGTAACAGTTGCTTTATTTATTTGAGGCGGTTCAGTCCAGTGAATAAGAATGTCTGGAATCCTGACTTCCAGAGTTTAAATTGAAACTATAATATTTATCAGCTGTGTCACTCTAAGCCATTCACTCAACATCTCAAAGCCTCAGTCTTCACATCTAAAGATGTTAAAGAATACTACCTACCCCCAAGGGCTATTGTGGGAATTAAATAAAATACACTAAATACCTGACAGGTTCCCTGGAACACAGTAAGTACTCAGTGTTAGCTACTGTTGCTCTTTTTCTTTTAAATTTTATCACTATCATTACTGAAAGCCCCTCTTTCTTTTTTCTTCGTCTTCTTAATAGAAAAGAAGTCTTGCTTTTTGCCCAGGCTGGTCTTGAGCTCCTGGACTCAAGTGAGCCTCCTGCCTCAGCCTACCAAAGTAATGGAATTACAGGTATGAGCCACCGTGTCTAGCCAAAAGCCCCTCTTTTTATCTCCTCAATGTTTGGAAGTAGAAATAATTTATCTCTAGAAAGAAAACATTCTGTTAACAAATGATGGACAGAGTTCAGAGAATTTTGTTTCTCACCAGTTCTCATTTTAGTTCCCCATGAGTCAACTTCTTACCAATAATGACCACTTTTTATATGATAAATTTAATACTATGTCTTGCTGTTTAAAAAACTTTAAATGAAATTAACACATTTATTTGAATAAAACAATGATTCATGAATTGGAAGCACCAAGATCAAAAGAGGTTATGGGCTCTGCTCTGGAAGCAGCTACCTTTTATAGGCTGAACACAGAAGCAAAGTAAAGAAATTACCTGAATTGCTGCAGTTAAGTGTTTGCCTTATTTGGGTATAGTCTGACGGGAGACTCCTAGTTATATAGCCAATCCACTCAATGGCTGTTTGTGTTTGGTTAGGGCTTTGTTTTTATTTGTCTATTTAAGTCGGTTATAAGAAATACCTCTAAACTGGGCTTTGGGCTGGGCGAGGTGGCTCATGCTTGTAATCCCAGCACTTTGGAAGGCCGAGGTGGACAGATCACTTGAGGTCAGGAGTTTGAGACCAGCCAGGCCAACATGGTAAAACCCTGTCGCTACCAAAAAAGATAAAAAATTAGCCGGGTGCAGTAGTATGCACTTGTAATCCCAGCTACTCGAGAGGCTGAGGCAGGAGAATCACTTGAACTTGGGAGGCAGAGGTTGCAGTGAGCTGAGATCATGCCACTGCACTCCAGCCTGGGTGACAAAGCGAGACTCCATCTCAAAAAAATACATAATTAAATTTAAAAAAATAAGGCTTCAGCTTGCTTATGTAAGGGCTCAGGGTGCAGAAACAACCTCAGGCTAGTGGCCTTATTTACTTTAAAACTGCTGAAACATCCCACTGCCATAGGAAATTTAAGCCAGTTTTCTATAGTTGAGTATTTAAGATGTTTCTACTCTTTTTTTTTTTTTTTTTTTTTTTTTTTTTTTTTTTTTTTTTTTTTTTTTTTTTTTTGAGAGAAATAGGGTCTTACGCTGCACCCAGGGTGGAATGCAGTGGTGCAATCATAGCTCACTGTACCCTCAAACTCCTGAGCTCAGATGATCCTCCTGCTTCAGCCTCCCAAGTAGCTAGTACTACAGGCACACACAACGATGCCCAGCTAATTTTTAAATTCTTTTTAGAGATGGGGTCTCACTATGTTGCCCAGGCTGGTCTTGAACTCCTGGCCTCAAACAACCCTTCTGCCTCAGTCTTCTAAAGCACTGGAGTTACAGATATATCACCCCACCAGACCTGTTTCCACTTTCTTAATGTTGTAAACGACATGGCCAAAATGGTAATTAACTCTTTATGCACATTCATCATTCATTATTATCTTGGTGGAATAAATTCTAAGTACTGATTTTTTTTTTTTTTTTTTTTTTGACAGAGTCTCACTTTGTCACCCAGGTGCAATGGTGTAATCATAACTCACTGTAGCCTCAAACTTTTGGGCTCAAATGATCCTCCTGCCTCAGCTTCCCAAGCAGCTAGGACTTATAGGCACATGCCACCATGCCTAGCTCATTGTTTTATTTTTTGTAGAGATGGGGTCTGACTATGTTGCCCAGGCTGGTCTCCAACTCCTGGGCTAAAGTGATCCTCCCACCTCAGCCTCAAAGTGCTGTGATTATAAGGATGAGCCACTGTGCCCGACCTAACATGGACGTTTTTAAAAGCTTTTTATCTGGTTTACAAAATTTTGCCTCATCTAGAAGAGATGGTTGACTGCATTTCTAACAGCAGTGCATGTAAGTTGCTGAAATCTTAACCAACATTAGCTATTTTGAGGGTTTTCTTTAATCTTCACCAATTAAAAAGGTGAAAATTTTTTTCTCACAGTTTTAATTTGCATTTATTTTATTTCTAGTAAGGCTATGGATTTTTAAATGTTTCTCAGCCAATTATTCATACTCTTTTATGCTTTTTTCTTTTGTCTTTCTTTTCAGTTCTAGACCTGCAGATGTACTCTATTGAATTACTGTTGTGAATGTTTCTTTTGGATAATTTATTTTTTCTTGTAAGAGTGCTTTCTATTATAAGAATAACAGCCCTTTATTTTTCATGTTGTAAATATTTTCCCCAATTTGTGCTTGCATTTTCCTTATATTTATGGAATTTTAAAGCACCTGGTTTCTGACACATGGAATTTTCTACTCTTATAGACTCATACATTGTGAAATATCAGAACATTAGAGACAAACAGATAATGCTCTAAGTGTCTGAAGAGGGGTAGAAAACAGGCCACGTATAAGGAATGATAATAAAAATGACTCTGGGCTTCTCAGCAACATTTGAAGGAAGAAAACAATGGAAGAGTTCTTCAATGTAAAAGAAAATGCCCTTCAACCTAGAATCCTATAACCAACCAAACTGGCAATGTGAAGATTGACTGTAGACACTTGCAACATCTGAAGAAAACTAGGCCAGGCACAGTGGCTCATGCCCGTAATCCCAGCACTTTGGGAGGCCAAGGCGGGCAGATCACTTGAGGCCAGGAGTCAAGAGACCAGCTTGGCCAACATGGTGAAACCCTGTCTCTAATAAAAAGACAGAAATTAGCTGAGTATGGTGGTGGGTGCCTGTAGTCCCAGCTACTTGGGAGGCTGAGGCAGAAGAATTGCTTGAACCTACGAGGCAGAGGTTGCAGGGAGCCAAGATCACACCTCTGCACACAGTGAGACTCCATCTCAAAAAAAAAAAAAATCTGAAAAAAAATTATTATTTGTATTGATTTTCTTTGCTGCTATAACAAATTGCTATAAACTTAGTAGCTTAAAAGAACATAAATGTATTTTCTTACAGTTCTGGAGATCAGAATTTCTAAATCAAGATGTTAGCAGGACTGTTTCCCTTCCAGAGGCTCTAGAGGAGAATCCATTCCTTATCTTCCTTCCTGCCAGAGGCTGCCTGCATTCCTTGTCTTGTGGCCCCTTCCTTCATACATCCGTATTTAAAATCAGGACATCTCTCTGTTCTCTCTGTTTCTCCCTGTCTCTGTCTGTCTGTGCGTCTCTTTCTCTCATACGTACATGCACATGCACACATATATCTCCTACTGTCCTATTATATGGACCTTTATTACTACATGGGGCCACCCAAATAATCCAGGATAATCTCCCAATTTAAACATTCTTAATGTGATCACATCTTCAAAGTCTCTTTTGCCATTTAAGGAAACAGATTTACAAGTTTTAGAGATTAGAATGTGGACATTATAGGGAACCAATATTCTGTCTACTACATCACACAATCACATTGCCTGTACTAAGATAAGAGAGTAATCTGAGAAAGAAGAAAATACAGAATACAGAAAATAAGAGATTCAACACAGAGAAAAGGAAAAGACTCTCCATGCTGGTGGCAAAGTCATGATATTCAAATGACAACTGCACAGCAGTCCTGATTGGGACAGTGTGATATGAGAGAGAGCCATGTCAACTGCTGTCCTTCCCATGTTTTTGCCTTTGTAACGTACCTTTAACTTGATGGATATGCATCATCAAATAGGGAATAAATCTAAGTATAGAAAGACAGATCAAGGACCCAGAGAATCTAACTAGAATCCATATGGCTAGATAACAAGAACAAGAACCAACAGAAATAAGTGATATCAAACACAGCCCTGAAGGACTCCAGATATTGGAATTATTAAACACCAATATAAGACAACTATATTTACTATTTTAAAAGACACAAAAATTATGCTTGAAAATTTCAACAGGAAACTGGAAACTATAACAAGCAACATAGCATATTTTAAAAAGAATCAGATTGGATGTGACAATGGAAAGAAACCATAAACCAAGTTTAAGATCATGAATGGGTTTCTAGCAGATAGCAAACTGGAAGATACATTGAAAACACAATCATAAAACACTGCAACACTGCTGGGAATTATATTCACATATGTAACTATGTAAACACTGAATATTGATTTCACCAACTACTGTAATATAACTATGTTAAGAAGATTAAGGTTAGAAGACAATGGCATTCTAAGACGGATAAATTATCATCTACTGCAATATGAAGCTGATAGATAGTAGCTAAAGGTGGTATATGCCTATCGTTTACAAATTAGGTAGAGGTGTAAGTGGCAGAAGAGAGAGCTAAAAGCATAAAGCAAATTGTCTCTAGGAAGGAGGGAAGAAAATAAGGATGGGGAAGGGAAATGCTGTATTTCATAACCTTTTTGGTACTACTTGACTTTTTAAAATCTGTATGTATTATTTTAATAAAATTTAAATTTAAAAATAAAGATAAAAAAGCCATAGGACAGCTTTGCACAGTGACAGTATCATAGCCAACGAGGTTTATCCAAGGCACAATTTATTGCTAATTGAAAACTTTTCCCAATACCCCGCCATGACAACTTAAAATATAGTCAGCATTGGCAATTTTTTACAGTCTCTATGGAGAGTGAA